TCTAAACAAGAACTCCTTTTCAGCAACATAATGGATAAACACAAACCTAAATAACTTACTGTTGTATAGACATTGCTTCCTTAGTGAGAGTTAAGTGAGGAGAAAGATGAAACTGATATGCAAGTAATGTATGTTGAGTGTTATCAGTATAGCAATAAAAAACTTTTACATTCATTGAGGTAGATGATGAACTTGGCTGGATGCCAACTGCCTACCAAGTTGTCCTCTCAATCTCCTCCTCATCTTGATGGAGTTAGTTCATAGAATCATAAGAGTTCAACTGTCAACATATTACCAGCATGCCCACTAGTAAAGTTGAAAGAGCAGTTGAAAAAACTTGGATAAAGTAACAGAGTCCACACTCAGCAAGTTTTCTGTGATACAAATCTAGGAGGAATGGATGATGTACCAGAAGTCTGTGCCACTATTCATGAAGAACCGGGCAGACAGAAGATTTGGGCAGGGAGGAACTTGACGAAGTTCAAGAAGAGCAAGTGTAGACTCTTGCCTGCAGTCATTCCTCCCCACATGCATCAATACAGGCTAGAGAATGACCTGCTGGAGAGGACTTCTGCAGAGAAGGACCTGGGTGTTCTTTTGGACAGCTGATTGCCCCTGTGGCAAAGAAGGCCCATGGTAACCTTGGGGGCATTAAAAAGAGTGTGACTAGCAGGTAAAATATACTGGGGAGACAGGAATGAAGAAGAGAAGTTGAGCCTGGAAAGACAGTGAATAAGTGGTTAGAGGTCTTTGGTTTGTTGTCTTTTTTTTTTTTTTTTTTTTTTTTTTTTTTCCCCACAATATTCAATTACATTATCTTTTCCCTGGCCAAGTCTTTTCTATTTATTATCTCCATCTACCCTTTTGATGAGAGGAAGTGACCAAGCAGCTGAGAGTATATCTTACATATAGTCAAAGTCAAGCTATCACAGATAGTCATATATTGCTAGTCATTAAACTAATGGAGGAGGAACCATCTTGACATCCCAACATTTTTAGTAGTTCACAGAAGTTACTTCCTTGCCCTTACATTGTGTAGCCATGAAATCTGTTGATGGCAAATCAGGATATACCACTTCTATTGAAGAGAAAGATTAGAATTTGCAGGTTTTGTAAGTCAGCATAACAGAATGAGAATGGCACGTAGAAGCACTTTTAAGATTCTTTCTTCAGGATACGTAAGACAGATACCTGTAATTTTCTTTTCTACTGATTCTTGCGCCCCAGTCTGTTGTATCTCTTTTCTCTTCCATGGTCAATTTCCCTCTCACTTATTCTACTTAGCAGAAATACTTGGGGAAAGCGTTTTGTTGGAAGGCTAAATTTCCATCATTGTACACTGAAAACTGGGCTTTTGTCCTAAAACAGTTGCTACGGTGACATGCAGTTTGCAATAGTGTCTCTGATTTTCCTTCCTGATTTCTAGCTCCATAATAAAAGAGTGTAATATAAAATTATATAAAATAAAATATTTTGCTAGTGAATGGTTTCTGATAAGCTTTCTTTAGGGAAATACTGTGTGGACTCATGCCACCAGTTTCAACCTAAAAATCTACTGATGGGGGAAAGATAGTTATCAACTCCTTCCAGATGACTGCTAGTGGTATACTGAGTTAGGATACAACAAAGAGAAAAAGTAAATTCCAGACTAGTGGTTCACATCAGTGAACCATCACACATCAGTGGTTCTAAACTAAGCTTCACTTAAATTCCTTGCTAATTCTTGGTTGATTGCTCTACACTGAAGTTCTACTATACAAGCCATAGTGGCCTTCAATATTATCCAGAGTTTGACATCAGATCTATGAAAAAGCATCTCAGCTTTCTAATATCCAACATAACAAAATGTGTAACAAGAAACCAGCTGATCACATAGAATTTCAAAGTGGTTATCATCTTTCCATCCTAAGTCTATGACAAACAAAGAAAAAGGTAGCTCTATCTTTTCACAACAATAAATCATTATCTTCTCACCCAGTTTTAAGTTAAGCATTGGATAAAGCAAATTCAGGGTTGGTTTGCAACAAATTTGTTGTCCAAAATTGGCAGTATTATATACTACAGTAAGATAAATTAATTCAGATTCCGTACAGACAATCATTATTCCACCCATGTTAATGTAAGATGGGTTGAGTTTTCCCAGAATTAAAAGCAACAGTCTTACTTTTGAATAATATTTGCCTTGTTTAGAAATCATGAGAGCAAATAGTTAGTGCTGAGTTGTGTTAGTTTTTGCAGACTTAGTGTGACATCTGAAATACATGAAATGCAAACTTCATTGTTCCATCAGATTTCTTTTCTCTTGGAGAGCCTATGAGTACATATGTTATTAAGTATCTTTCCTGGGTGCACATTACTTAAATTCTTAAGGAAATACATTGTTATACTCTAAATCAGAACAGGAGAGAGATGCAGACTTAACCAGTTTTGTAAAGAACTAACAATGAGAATAGAAGAATTAGAGATGATGCTGTCCAGACTCAAAAGGAAACAGGAACTAATTTTGTTACTTTAAATTCTTTGGAAACACAGGAGCATGTTACAGAAACAGAGAGACAAGCTGACAAATAGTAGAGATCAGCATCATGCTATTGTTTGCTTTACCTCTTTTCTGTTACATGATAAAAGACAAAGATCAAACTAGATACGCTATATTTTGATTTGAAATTTTTAGTCTGGTTTCTTTTTTTTTTTTCTGACCTTGTTTGCATTTGCTTTTGTTTTACTCAATTAATAGATATATTTTTTGTATTTTTGATGTAAGTAGAAGCACTTGTTGGTGGCTAGCATTCTCACAAAGTTTTAATGTCTGATATCACATGTATTCCTCATACACCTGTTGCTGAAATAAATTAGCAACTCTGGAGGGTATTGCCAGATTGTACCTCTATTATTTCCTTGCTTACTCTTCTAATTCCAAATCTAGTCTGATATTAATCGGAATGTTCTGGAAAGAGCTTGAAAATGAAAATAAGAAAAAAATACATAATTGTTCCTTCAGTTAATATTCTTTCTTCACGTAGGCAATTGTATAACCTCCAAAAAGATTATATGACATTGTTCTAGTTCTGTACAGTCATTAGAAGGAGTTTAACCATAGTCCTTGTTAACTTTAGGCTATCATTGAATAGAAAGAACAAATTAGATGTACATGCAGGGAAGACCAGCAGATGATGGTTTTTGAATAACAGGAAGAACAAATGTACTATAACCCAAACTTGTCATAGACTTTTTCAGGACAATAGAAAAAAATCAAGTATAATTTCCTGTTCTCTTCACTGTTTTTATCCAGCATTAAAAATAAATAGATAGAAAATTAGATTCTACCAATACCAAGTCAAGCAAAACAGTAGGTAAGTATCTTGGCCTCTACACTTCTCCATAGTTTGATTGGCTGGTCATTATATTCCTACTCAAAGTTTCAGTAAAACTGTAAGCAGATAAACAACTACAGTTAATCAAATTATTGGGTAGATAAGTACATTGTGACACTCTTAAGTTTTATGCATCTACTTTTTTCTTGCAGTATAAATGCTGGAACAAAAGCACTGGGAGAGAATGACTATATTTGTACATCTTCAGTGCAGCATCATGCAAAAACAATGGGCTTTTGACCTTACAAAGTATAGACTCCATAACTCATAACAGTAATAAATACTTCTTTTGGACTTTATGACCAGTCACCAAATTTAATAAAATTCAAATTAAAAGGCTATTTCATGCTTGAGAGAACTGTGATTCACATTCATTTTTCTAATTTTGCTTACTTAACTTAAAAATAAACTGTTCTTACAACATTTATAGCCAGCTGAAAACACCTAGGTTACCACATATTTCATAAGAAATTGGGACTTCTTGTTAAATGCAGATGCAAAGTGCTCATTGACAAATTGAAGAATAGACGAGGAAACTTATGTGACAGAGACCAGCTCAAGACGCCTGGAATAGACAGGCTTAGGCTCTGGTGGCGCAAGAAGCAGTTTATTGTTGTTAAAGGGTTTTTATATCTTTTAGCTACAGGAGTATACAATACTTAAATCAGATAACATTCATGCAACTGACAGCAATACATCATTACTTAATTAACTCCTTTGTGGATTATGATCAAAAGGCATTCTCTTCACAGAACATGTTCTGCTCTTGGTCATGGAACGAAGAAGCTGTAGCTTATGCTTGCCAGTTTCACATGACAGTCCTTCCCTTTCAGGAGGGGCCGCATGTTCCCTGTTTGACCCTTTCAGGCCAGCCAGGTCTGTTTTGCTTAACAGTCTTCCTCATTCCACCCTTTTCTATTCTATTAGACCAGGGGTGGTGGTGGTTTATTTTTCATTTGTTCTAATTTAACCTTTTTGATTTCAGTTTGTATTGCCTGCAATTGTTGAATTACCAAACGTATTACACAGGGGAGTAGTATTAGCCCTATCAACACAATTACAATCATCAAGCATATACCATAAAACCATTTCTGAAATGATGAGAACGAAGGGAAAGTAGCCTTAAGTGTTCTAACAAAATCTTGAGCCTGGGTTGCTAGGGTGACATCTAGTTTATGTGCTTTCATTATATCTTGTATGTGCTGTTGAAGCTCTTTTAAGTCCAAAGAAGTATTTGCATTGTCCCAAATACCTTGTAAATGACTTTGGATTTTCGACCAAGGAAATCGAGAGCAGTTATACTCTACTGGTGTGACGCATATCGATGTATAGTCTGCATGGCAAATTAAGGATTTTATGATTTGCATGGTTTCGCATGGAGGAACTTGAGGGGGCAGTCTCCCTGGACCTTTAGTGTACATTGTAAAATTCGGGTAATAAAAGTTCATAGCCCAGTGTATTCCTGTTGAAACATTAGTATCCCAATCATTTTGCATTATAATTTGTTCACACAATGGATTCGTCTGGGTTAGAGTCAGTCTCTGCATCTTCCTTCGCAGTTTTCCCATTTTGGTTTTCAGCATGACGGACGTATCTCTCTGGTATCCACCGTGGTGAGGTTTCATCTGTAGGGAAAACACAAACATATCCTCTGCTCCAAATTAGTACAGGATCAGGACCATAAATTCTACCGTCCATTGGATTTCTCCAATATGCTATTGGTTTATTTCTTGTTTTATTACTCCAATGTCTATCCGCAGCCGATTTTCTGTCATCATCCAGTGTCAAAAAATTTAAAACAAATAATGCATGTGATAACATAGAGGACGGAGTATCTTTAATTCCTCATGTCCCCCTTTTTATTTTCTTTAATTGAGTTTTCAATAAATGATTAAATTTTTCTACTATGCCTTGGCCTTCTGGATTATATGGAATTCCAGTTTTATGGTGAATTTTAAAATGTCTACAAAAGGTTGCAAAACTGCTACTTACATAAGCTGGCCTGTTACCGGTTTTTAATGATTTCGGTGTTCCCATAACGCTAAAACAATGCAAAAGATGGTTGCATACATGAGAGAGTTTTTCACCAGACAAGTCTGAGGCTACTGCAAAGTGAGAGAAAGTGTCAATTGTTACATGGACATAAGAAGATTTTCCAAAAGAAGGTACATGTGTGATATCCTTCTGCCATAAATCATTAGGCATTAATCCTCTGGGGTTCACTCCAAAATGAGGAACTGGTAATAAAGGGGCACAAGAAGAACCGTTCCGCATATTCGGAAGTCCAAAGCAAATATTCACCTCCACTTAACACAGCGTTTGCCAAGCTTTTCCAGTCAGAAGGGGGAAGAATATTAGCAGCTTTAAGCTCTTTCATTTGTTTAAAAGGAATAGGCTCATAATCATTTAGTATGCTTCCATTTGCTTATTGGCTCTGTATCACGGGAAAAATGTGCCCAGAAAAATCATAAATTGTCTCCCCAGCTTTCCTAGCTTCTTTTAATGCTATTTGCATAGGGGATTGTTGCATAAGCAGAGCGTCCACACCCGGTGGTGGAGGCATTCGCCCTGCTCGAAAGGCAGGCAAAACAGCAAGGGGATCTGATCGAGCCTGATCGACTATCTGTTGTGTCTGCACAGCGGCATCAGCAGCCTGTAACGCTGGGAATACAGCCACTAAGTCCTTATGGTGGTATTCAGCAGCCTCTTTTTCTAATTCTCCCCAATCATCAGGGGGTAAAATATCCTTTGTTATGTTATTGCCAGGAGGTTTACAAGGCCGCAAGTCGTTTGCTAATTTACAAATCAAAGGTTGCTCATATTGGGGAGGGGAGGGTGGGGGTGCCGATGGCATGGACGAAGGGATATGATCAAGAGATTTTGATCGCGACAAGGCAGGATATAACTTTTCTGTTGAGCGAGTGGTCCACTGCCACTTCTCATCTCCTGTGTCTCCTCTGAGACATTTTTTTATTAGAGTCCAAAGTGTAAAGGTATCAATAGGTACCTTCTCAGGACCATGCACAGCATAATAGCCCTGGAGTCTTTCACCTACTTTGTTCCAAGTTTCAATATTAATAGTTCCATCCCTGGGAAACCAGGGGCATACTTCCTCTATAAAATCTAAAAAACGACTAATCTGACCCCAGTCACTTTTACTCCTCGGGCAACTAATAATGATTTCAGCATTGCAGAAAAAAATGCCTCGTTCTGTACTTGCAGCCTATCCCATTTTATTTAACAATCTGTCCAATTCCCTAGTCCTTACCTCCCTATTTCAACTTACCAACCGCGGCTCGTGGGAGGAAGCGACGCCTTTGTCATTTGGAGTCCGAGATTCCTGGGTTTCGGCACCAAATGACGGAGACCAGCACAAGACGCCTGGAACAGACGGGCTTAGGCTCTGGTGGTGCAAGAGGCAAAGTTTATTGTTGTTACAGGGTTTTTATATCTTTTAGCTACAGGAGTATACAATACTTAAATCAGATAACATTCATGCAACTGACAGCAATACATCATTACTTAATTAACGCTTTTGTGGATTATGATCAAAAGGCGTTCTCTTCACAGAACATGTTCTGCTCTTGGTCACGGAACGAAGAAGCTGTAACTTATGCTTGCCAGTTTCACATGACAGTCCTTCCCTTTCAGGAGGGGCCGCATGTTCCCTGTTTGACCCTTTCAGGCCAGCCAGGTCTGTTTTGCTTAACAGTCTTCCTCACTTATGCTGAATGGAAAATAGTATTCACTTTTCATTGAGTACTAAGTGTACCATCTCATGATATTCTAGGTCTAGTGGGTTAGTAAACTATGCATCCTGCATAAATTAATGCATATTAACATGTTTCCACAAGACGACATTAAAGTGGACAATGATATTGCAATGAATTTGATTTGAAATCTCACTCCAAAACTTTGTGCCAAATTTTAAGTTAGTGTAATCTTCTACCTTGTGTTAAATTATAACATTTTAATTGTTATTTAAACAGAATTCAAACAAGGTTAACACAACCTTGATCAAGACAGGGTGAAATACTTGGCTCTGTTACAATTGTTCAAAGGTTTTCACTAGCATAAATATCTGCTGTAACTCAACCAAAAAAAAAAAACCTCTCCACTACTGAACACAAACTAGTTTAATGAAAACTGGAGGGATTTTGCTGGGGAAGGCTGAACATCAGTCATGAGTGATGAGAAACTGCACTGTGCAGTCTTTTATATTGTCTATTATTTTATTGTTACTATTATTTTCATTATTTCTTCCTTTTCCATCCTATTAAACTGTCTTTATCTCACACCATAAGTTTTGTCTTTTTCCAGTTTTCTGTTCCCTCCCACTCTGTGAGGAGAAGCTGAGATGATTTGGGGTACAGATGAAGAGAGAGGGAACAGATGATTTTGTAGTGGTACTTAGCTGCTGCCAGATTATACGACACTAATAAGCTAAGCAGAAGTATGAATCCATATCAATAGAAAGGGATGTTGCTGAAGCATATATTAAGCTAATCAAGTTGGTAGGGATTGGCACCTACCTGGGTTTCAGAAAAAGGACTTTGTTTTTTTTCTTGCTGGAATGGAATTTCTCTCAAACTATTTGTCTGTTTTCCCAAAAAGATGAAAAGGAAAATTCACTCTGCTTCTTTTGTCCATTTAATTTGAAAATGAATCTGCTTAAAAAATACTTGTTGAACAGAAAGACAATAACGTATCAATGGTAATACAGCTGCTATTACTGTTATCGCTACTACCACTATAAATGAAAAAGAGAAACATGTCATTAAAAAGCACCGAATATGGTAGAAAGTAAAAATGAAATCATTATTGCAGAACTCCAGCTGCAGAAATTTATCTTCCAAAGAGATTTTGCTGATCTCCTTAAAATCAAATTTTAAGTTTCTTCATCTTTTTCCTGAAGCATGAAATTTCCAGTGGAACTAACAGCATGTTATGGAGAACCTTTTTACACTGGATCAGATGAAAAATTATTTATCTTAGGATGTCATGCAAAAAAAAAAAAAAAAAAAAAAAAAGTCAGAATTCATTTTACGTGATACACTTTAATTAATTTGTGTCTGCAAAAAGCTATGTCAAATATTTCTGCTTGTTTTTCATTTTGAATACACTGCAAAACTGTAGTCTTCCTATAAAAAAAGATGGACTGTTAGATACATAGAGTATGTTCAGGAAAGGACATGAAGGACAAAACTAGCCAACGTCAAACAGTCATAATTATATCTTTTGTGGCACTGATTGCGGGAGGAACTACCTCAAGGCTGAAAATGGTTATTAGGTTACAGAGGCTTTACAGTTATTTCAAGCTTTGACCTTCAAGAAAGTATACAGATGAAAGCTAGCACGGTTCTAGGATATAATAATAATTATAATGGCTTTTAATGGAAATCACAGAATCACGGAATTGTAGGGGTTGGAAGGGAACTCCAGAGATAATCGAGTCCAACCCTCAGTCATGGGGGGGGGGAAATCATGGGACTGCAGTTTAAAAGTAATTATTTGAACAACATCGATAAATTAAACCATTTTTTAGAAGGAAAATAAGTTTGTAATGGAAAAAAAAGTGCACTCTGGTGTTTCATTTTTCTGATTACTGGACTTACTTCCTTCTGATCTTTCTGCACTGGTCTATTTTTTTTTTTTTTTTCAGCAAAAACTACAGCAGAATGGTCCTTGTCTCTAAAAGCAGCAAACAAGAAACAGAAACTGGAGAAAGCAGAGAGTGAATCTGTGACTACAATTGAGAAGAAAGTGCCCAATCTCTGTAATAAATTTCTATTAGTGCTTTACAATTACTTGTTATAGAAAAACATTGGAAATAATTGAGCAGAAATTTTGAGTTACAGCTCAACGAAGACGATTTATTTTTAGACAACTTCAGTGAAAATGTGTTTTTTGTTTTTTGTTCCTATAAATAAGTATTATATTTTATTTGCATTGAAAACTATGAAGATCTAAAATATGCTTTAAATATCTTAGAGAAAAATAGTCCATAGAAAAGTGGATCATTTATCTTAAAATTGCCAGTCACACCTTTTCATTGTATCCCACTGTTAAATTCTCCAAAAAATTGGAATTGACTACATTCTCTACTGCAAATCCAAACTAGACTTTAATAATAATAATGAGCTATGGGACTGCTCATGGTATATCCTCTTTGTTAATAATGATCATTTTAGGGAAGTCATCTGATTAGACTAACATGGAAAGAGAGGTGGAGGAACTGCAAGTATTTGGATTTCAGATTAGCACTTAAAGTAAGAACTCAGAGAGTGGATCTCATCCAAAAGCAAGATGGTCCAAATTATGACTGAAGAGCAGGAAACATACAGGAGAGGATAAACTTGTTGCTGCAGAAGTATTTGAAATTCCAGTAATGGGGTCTCTGAGAAAGAATATGTCTCTGAGACAAAATGTAGATGTGTCTTAAAGGGAAAAATGTTGGTTTGGACATACGTATGTAGTGCTTGCTAAGAAACTGAGTTGAAGCCAAGTATCCAGTACTTGTTTGACAAAGATGTTGTCAACACTATGGTTAGTTAGGCTAGTTAGCTGCTATGGTATTAAGAAAAGATCCTGTAGAAATTTAAAATGCCTCCCTTGATGAAAATTTTTACTTGGATGCTGTAAATTGTGCAAACATTGGTATAATAACAAATAACTTCATTACATGAAGGGCCTTTGTACTTAGTAGACAGAGGAACCAATTGCAAAAAAATAGAAATCAAATACTTTGTCATAACATGTATACAGTAAAATTGGATTAAACTATCAAAAACGTCCTTTATTTCTGGTCCTTCTGAAGTTCAGGAAGAGTTAAAGATATTAACAAACCCATTTTAATGTATCTCTCTTCAAAAACAATCTTTTCTGTATGTTCTTAATTCTTTAGTTCCCCATCTACAGGTGTTATTTGGAAGCATCAGTATGGCATTTGTATTTTTCAGTGTCTCTGAGCATTCTCAACTCCAAGAAAAGTCAATAGGAGATGCAGTTTGATCCCATGAAAACACATGCCATTAGTACCTGAGTTCTATTACTGCTTTAGTCTGTACAAAATGTTATAAATCCTCAACCCCTGCTGAGGTTAGTGGGAATTATGAGCACTCAGAATCTGCTGGAAGCAAGAAGTGTCTGATTAGAACAGAAAAAAAAAAAAGTATTGAATATGAAGAATTTTTAATTTTGGCTAATGGCTTTCCAGAGAGGAGAAAAAAGTGCTCTTTTTTTTTTTTTTTTTTTTTTCTACTTACAATCATTTAAATAATCATGTAATATATCAGCTTTGTTGCTGACATAGAGAGGTGTCCAGAAGCAACTAGAAGAATCCAATTTTTTAGCCAGCTTGCATTATCCTGACGGCCAGAAGCTGTAACCTGTTTAGAAGATCCAGCATTGACTTTGATCTCTGCTGAGAGATGTCCTAACCCTGCTGCATGTCCCTATCAGCTTGATTCTGTATATTGACATCCCCTTGTCATATTTAAATAAAGGAGTAAAAAACTAATTTTGAATGTTATAGAAAATAGTGTTGGCTATAATTGCTTGCCAGGGCTTTAAAATGTCTGAAAAAATACACAAAATAGTCCTGAAAAGTAGGCATCTTAGGATAACAGAAAATAAAATCCTTGACCTTAATCACTTGACCTGAGTTTACAGCTAATCCCTAGAAGATACTCAGATTAGAGAACAATGAAGGATACAAACCCATAGATAAGCAGTTGCACGGTGTTTTACAAGTATTTCTAAATATTATTCTATCCTGTAAATACATTAATTTACAAGACTTATTCACTAGTCCTCTGTCAATAGGGCATGCACATGACTACAATTTAAGTATTCATTATCATCTGCAGGCACAAAATATCTCAGCTATGAGTAGCAATGTTTCAGACTTCAGAACCTAGAAGTTTTTGTTTAACAGTAACCACCTGCACAAAATTACAGAACAGTGCATGCACAGATGTTGTGTCAGAGAAAATTAAAGCATATATGATCCTCTGGAGGCTTTGGTAAAAAAAAAAAAAAAAAAAAAAAAAAACCTTAACACCTAGTTCTTCCTTCTTTCTGATGACAGAAATCAGAACAAATCATCAGGGCAAATTCAGTGGAGCGTGATACAGTCAAGAAATAATGCATTCATCCAAGAAGAGGCTGGGGATGGGGAAGGGGAGAGAGGAGAAACAAGTAAAATATTAACACTTTATTGTCTTCAAGCAGAGTAGCAATATGTCATTTCCGTGCATTGGCTTGTAATATTGTCAGCATTTGTAAGGCAGATACATGATGATTTTCTCTTCCCTGCTGATAGCAAGTGATTATTTTTGTCCATCATTGACTTAGATAATTTATTGCACATAAAT